AGCTTCAGTTATTTTCTTACAGCAATAGAAAATAGACCAAAACAGAGGCACTGAAGACTCAACTCTGCAGGAATTACGGGCTTAGCTTTCTCTCCAGTCCCGATCACACCGGCCTACTTTCCACCTCCCCATTTCCTAGTACAGTTAAGACATAGCACTGGTTAGCACAACACTGCCACAGCTGCTGCAAGTGCTCACTGGGGAGCTGTGGGGTGTACCTTTCCATTCCTGCCTTGCTTGCCATTTGCTCTCAAGTTGCTTTGCTGCTGTTAGCGTTCACTGCTCTTCTGCAAGTGTGTAACCCTTTTTCAAAACAGGAAGACTGAATCTGTTTCTTGAAGACATTGCTCCCTTTTGGCGAGCTCTGCTGTGTGCTGGTTGCAACCATCATGTTTGGGCTCTCCTTCAGCGTCCTCCTGGGGATTTGGTCTCCTCCCATGGTGTCTGGGTCTGTTTCCTGCATCTACTCTCTCCTGCACCACATAATTTTTGTTGAAGCCACTCTTGCGGGTTGGCCTGGTGCTCACAGTCCTCCAGCCTCAGTCTCCAGTAGAAAAGATGAAGCAAAACAATGCCAGATGTTGCCCATCTGGAAATATGCCCTCACAGCTTAACAGCTCAGCAAGTATGGTTGTGTAGGTGGAAAATAATTTCTCAAAGTTTTGAAGGCATTTGTTTTATTTTCATCTCATTTCCAATGTCATACTTCAGAAGTCTAATTCTTGGTATTTTGTATAGAACTTCTTTTCTCTCTCTAGAAAGCTTTAGGACTTCTTATTTGCTACTAATACTCTATAAGGTTATGGTGATGTGCTTGGTTTAGGTCTGTTTTCATCTGTTGTCCTAAGCATTTGATGTCTGCTTTTGATTTGGCTTCGTTTGTAGGAAATTTTCTTTATTTACTTCATGATGATTTGTTTTTCTCCATTTTCTCTATTCTCTCTCTGTCTCTGTCTTTCTCTCTATCTCTCTCATTGTCTCACCCTCTATTTGAGGCAGGGCCACAGAGAAGGCTGGCCTTGAACTTACTATGTAGTGCAGGATGGCCTGGAACTCATGACAATTTTTCTGCCTCAGCCTCCAACATGCTGGGATTACAGGCATGATGCCCCGCTGTTTTCTATTGCAGAGGTCCTATTATTCAATCTTTGGCCTTCTGGACTTGATTTCTCTTCTGTCCTTTTACATCTAATTGTTTTTGCTCTGCTTTCTGGGAATTTGTCCTGGCATAGCAGTCTCTATCTCCCTGAGGATCCTTCTTTTCCTGGTATAATCTGTTTCTCTTCGGTTGCTTTTACTGTTTTGATTTCTGTCTTTTATATACATACATGCTTTTCTCAAACATCTGGTGACCCTTAGCTGCTTGCCTGTATGTAAGAGTGGATACTGCACGACCATACCATGGAAGGTGATTCTGAGAGTCACTGCAAAGTGATCTGGCTTTGCTTTGCTTTGAGTCCTGCAGGGGATGGCTGTCCACATCCGGGTTCCTGGAAGGGAAGAAACCTGGGACCTTTAAGAGCTGGTGAGCAGTCTTTCCCTGAATCTCCGTTTTTAGTGCTGGATGCCTGGCCTGAGCTCTTTCCTTCCTTGCAGCCTCCACCCAGAGGAAGGAAGGGGTTGGTCTCTCAGCTAGTCCAGGGCAGGGACAGTTGGTTTCCCATCTTCTGGCCAATCTTCAGCATCATCTTCATTCCCTCTTCCAGAGTTACTGGTCCTTGCCAACTCCTGAGCTCATCTGGGTTTCTGCGGTCCAAATTAGATTTCTGGGTATTTTCATTTCTCATTGCCAGTTTCAGAGGAAACCTTTTCACGTTCAGTTAGTTCTACTCATTTGTCTGTGCTCCAGCTTCCAAAATCTGTCCTTGTCCTCTTTCTTCTTCTCTTTGACTAACTGTGCCTATTGTATTACCTGTCATCTTAGGGGCTTAAAGGTAAGATAAAGGTATTAAACTAAAGATTTTACTACTATTTTTCACATTTATCTATTTCTCCATTAAATTTTGACTATGTTGAGATTCTATTCCAAATGCCTGCTGTGATATATTTCAATAATTTCAACATTTCATTGAACTGACTATATTAAAAGAGTTAACTCCTTGGCTGTGGTTTTCTGAGGAGGAAATAGGGGCAAACAGGTCCCATTTATTCACTTTCAGGCAAGGAGACAGGATTCTGTGCCTGCTCAGGTTTGAGGGGTGTGCTGTTACACAATTGCTCCACTTTGCATCCACTGCGACAATGCATCGGGCTAGTCCAGGCAGTCTACCCTCCCAGAGCCAGATAATTAAAACAGGTTTGTATTAAATCTTTTTCTCTTTGGCTGAAAGGATTATCAGTCCATTTTGGTACCAAGAAAGGAGTTTGTCTTGTAGTGAGTTTATTATACATCCTGAAAAACCTGGGGGACATTAACTCTCTAACTCAATATTATATAAAGTAAGATAAGATAAGGAAAGCCAGAATGTCATCCAGCTGCAGCTCCTCAAACACTCATTCCCAGGCATTCCCTTCTGAAGGCCTTAGGCCACTACTTATATTCTCTGCTCTTCCTTTCTGGGCAGAGAAAGCCAAAGCCTAGGGTGTGGTGGGGAGCTCACAGGACCAGAGGTGAAGAGCTCTGCTGGATGAGGGCCTGCACCAGCTTCCTCTCCTCACCCCTTCTTAGAGACAGGCCCTGTGCTTGGTAGGTTTCTTTCTCCCTGATGGAATGCAATTTTTATTTAAGCATGGCATGTGATGCTTAAGATGGGAAAAGATGGTGAAAATCTCACTGGAAAGTCTTCGGAAGAACACAGAGAGCTCTTCATTGTGGTACATTTCAAGCACACAGTAGTAAAATAGCACAAGTAGGTTCTGGGTATGGTGGTGCATACCCAGAAATACCTGTAACCCCAGCACTTGGGAGGCTGAGGCAAGAGGATCAACACAAGTTCAAGGCTATCTTGGACTACATAGTGAGACCCTGTCTCAAAAAACAAAGAGACAAACAAAACAACAACAAAAGAAAACTAAGAGAGAGAAAAGCAAAAGTAACATCTAGTACCCAATACCCAGTTTTGATAATTATCAATACTTACTAATATAGTAAAATCTATTTTTTTTCTGTATTTAGTATAGGGTCTACAGGGTCTCATTATGTAGATCAGACTTGTGATTCTCCTGTGTTCAGCCTCCCAAGCGCTGGGATTACAGGTGTGTACCACCACGCCCAGTCTTAGTCGCTATCTCAGCACACCCCAGGGACGGGGCCAGCGTGGCACACCAGGGATTGAACCCTGGCTGCTGCACTCCACCTAAGCAGGCACTTTAGTCCACTGAACTTTCTGGCTGGTGCTAGTAAAATCTATTCTTGTCCCTTCTTTCATTAAAAAATTTTTTCTGGATAGATTACTTAAAACAGATTCCAGACAGCATGTCATTTTTACCTCAAATACTTCTGAAGATTCTCAGAATTTCCTTCATTTATATAAAACCACAATACCATTATTATCCCTTATAGAATTAATAATGTCTTGATAGCATCTAGCATCCTTGTCTATATTCAAATTTCCCAGATTATCTGAAAAATATCTTTTTACAGAGGATTTGTTTGAATCAAGAACAAAATAAAGTCTGTTTATCATGCTCGATTTATATATCTTGGAAGTCTTTTTGAATTATTTATTATTATTATTATTATTATTAATTAGTATTTCAGGAAAAGGTCTACAGGGTGTTCAGGCTCTCACTACTAGATCGGACTTGTAGTGATCTGCCTCTTCACAGCCTCCCAAGAGCTGGAATTACAGACGCAAGCTACCATGCCCAGTCTCAATTGCCATCTCAGCATGCCCTGGGGGCAGGGCTGGCACAGCAGGCCCAGGGGATCAAACCCCTAGCCCCTGCGCCTGCTTGCAGGTGCTTTAATCTGCTGAGCTATTTGGCCAGCCCTCTTTGAATTAATAATGGAAATTTTATTATCTTTTTTATTTTTGGCAGTGCTAGGAGTTGAACCCAGGGCCTTGCACAATGCCAAGCAAGCACTCTACCACTGAGCTGCATCCTTTGTCCCCAAGCTCTGCTCCTGAAGTTATATATAGTTGGGCTTATAAAAGGGAGGCAGGCCTGCAGACGGCTCTGCTCTGCTGACACACTAGCCATGGTTTTTGTTTTTGAGACAGGCTTTCCATATATAGTTCAGGTCAGTCTCAAACTCATAACTATCCTGCCTCAGCCTCCTAAGTGCTGAGATCACAGGCATATGCCACCACCAGCAGCTACCAGCCCTGTTTTAGCCCAGTGTTCTTCCATATGTGAAGTGCCCTCAGGTCTGTGTTGCATGGTATGCACTGGTCTAATACTTCTGTTAATGAGGTGAGAAACAGTCATTTTAAAAATAACTACATTCTGCCTTATTTACTGGTACAACTGATCAAACTTTGGAGACATTGGCCCTGATATGTTACAATTAGGAATCCATACTGTAGAATGCAATACCATCCACGTAGGTACATAGAAGCAACCTCAGCATTAAATACATGTACTGGGGATTGTTTTAGAACAAGTCCTGCCAAGCAACTGACTTCAAGTGTGTTGGTGGGGTAGTGTGAATGCCTTCAATAAAGACAGAGATATCACCCAGTGCTTCTGGTCATTCCTCTGCTCCCATGTATCCCATCTGTTTTGAAATCCTTCCTTTATTCCTAGCCCCCCAAAGCATTTGTCCCCTGCCCCATTTCTCTCATTTTCTCATTTCTGTATCCAACTGCTGCATATTGAGGGTCTGCTGTGGGCAGATGTGTCCCAACTAGTATTCATGGAGTCCTCCCAACAGCTAGGGGTGTCATCACTGCATCTGCTGGAGGCAAAGCTCAGGCACAGAGATCTGCTGAGCTGCTCACTGAGTCCTAAAAGACACGGTTTTGCCAACACTTGAGCTTCACTGGTGATCAGACCAGTGAAGAGAGGTCAAAATCAACCCCCAGAGAGGTTCCCAAATACTTAGAACTGGCTGATACCTGCTCCATGGAATCCTCCGCAGACATAGAGCTTCCCATCCACTGCCCCGGCATTGGTGGAATTGGTTCGGAGAGAGAGAAGGGGACTTGGCATAGGTGGGCCCTCTCTCCAAAAGTCCCCATCCGGGTTGTAGATCTCTACCACATCAAGGCATTTCCGAACCTGGCCTCTGTCTCGCCCTACACAGCCAATTCCACCTACAGGAAACAGAACATAGACAGGAGATGATCAGGAAAAAAAACTCCACCATGGACAGTGTCCTCTTTGGAGGGGTTGTAGGACTGGTATTTAGGGCTTGGTCTCTCTTTCTTGCCCAATGCTACTTATAAGATAATTTCTAAGCAATGCTGATAGGATAGTTAAATTTACTGCCAGTTTTTGCTCAGTTCTCTCTGAGTGTCTATATGAGATTGACCCTTTGTGGGCCTTATATTCAACACATCTGATGCTGGTTTGCACAGGTCTGGCCTGCACCTAACGGTAACCTGCCTTGAACATTGGCCTTGCTTCTGATGGTCACCAGTGACACTGTCAATCTAGCTATCCCTCATAGCTAGATCACTCATCAAGCTAGTCTCCCGTCTCCTCCTTAGTTGCATGAATATTTCCCAATGAAGAAAGTGATGTTCTTTGTAAGTTTCAGGTTGGGCTCAAAGGAAGGCCTTAAACTCAAATGGCCAGTGCAATCCACATTTTTGGATGATATAGAGTTCTGACAGATACCCATTAAGTGCCAGTTATGTACAAGGGTCTATGTTAGTGACAAGGAATTTTTCGTTTATTTTTTATTTAAAATTTTTTTTAAAGACAGCACAAAATAGTAATAATAAATTAGAAATTATATAGAATTTCACTAAACAAAGTAATACGGATTCAAAAGTATTTGTTGAATTGTATAGTATTGTCTTCAACTTAGGTGTTTAGATCACCAGATAGTGACAATGAGTTTTAAAAGATGCATAAAGCATGTTTTCTGCCTTAAAGAAATGCACAAGAGTGGCTGGCAAGACAGCTCAGTGAACTAAAGCACCTGCTTAGGCAAGCTTAGGCAAGCACAGGGACCATGGTTCAACCCCTGTACTACATGCTGTGCCAGCTCTAACCCCCAAGGGCAGATTGAGCTGGCTAGAATCTGGGCATAGTGGTGCACACTTGTAATCCCTGTGCTGGGGAGGCTGAAAGCAGGAGGAACACTATGAGTCTGAGCTGCATAATGAGACCTTGCAACAACCAAATACATTAAAAAAGAAAAAAAATGCACATGATGGAACAGGTCATGTATGCAAATACAGAGCAGAGGATAAAACAACAAATAGCTTAAAAGGGATACAAATTAGATTTAGGAGTCTAAAGATGATAGCAAGAATCAGAAATAGTATTTACAGAATTATGACTAAATACAGCAGCCCCCACTGGGAAAAATAAAATTGTATAAGACTTCCCAATTAATTTACTGTAAAACAAAAAAACAAGAAAACAAGTTTGTATATGATTTCTGCTTCTGTTTTTGTTTTCCCCTCCCAAATCCTACAGTGAAAAGTCTAGGGAGAGGAGTCCTAGAAGAGCCCCTGAATGTGTAGGGTGGGGACTGGTACTGGATATGTTGTTTACAGCAACATCAAAACCAAGTCTAGGGGCTGGCGAGATAGTTCAGTGGACTAAAGCACCTGTTTAGGTAAGCTTAGGCAAGCTCAGGGTCTGCTGTTTGATCCCGGACACCACATGCTGTGCCAGCCCTGCCCTGATGGTGTGCTGAGCCGACCAGAGTCTGGGCATAGTGGCATATGCCTGCAATCCCAGTGCTGGGGAGGCTGAAAACAGGAGGCTCACTATGAGTTCAAGCTGTTTAGTGAGTCCCTGTAAGAACCAAATACATTTTTTAAAAAAATCTATGAAGTACTGTGGCAGTTACCCTACATGTTGCTTGCTGAGAAATTAATTGCATAGTCTTGTGGCATTTTTCTTTTTACTGCTATTTAACACCCTTTACTCACATTGCATTAGCTAGATGGTGTTTTATTATCATCTGTTTTCTTTTGCTCACTGGAACTGTCCCCCAGTCCTGAGCATAGCACACTGAGCATCTGAATGAACAAATGAATGAATGAATGAAAGATTTAACTTTCCATGTTCTTCCCTTCCCATGTCTGTCCAAGTGGGTGTACTATAAGCTCTCTGAGGGTAGAGGCAAATTTCAGGGGGATTTTGTTACAAGGCCTGCTACAGGAGGCAGATGGAAAAAGCTCATTTGTGCCCAGTTGGGGCTTATGCCAGGTGTCAGAGGTGACAAGAAAGGGTTTTCAGGAAAGCTTTTTTCTTCTTTGCTGATAGAGTCTGGCCTACTTCTGGTCTCAGTAGGAATCCAAGTACTGAGGCTATAAACTCAAGAAGCTCTTAGTTGCTTTCTCTCTTATCCAACTAGATAAATAATTTATCCCATTACAACTCCAAGTCTGAGTTGCCACATTTCCTAGGAGAGGATACACTGGCCTTGGCTGATTACCTAGCTCTGTTGTTTTCAGGCCTGTCTCACCTGTGGCAAGAGGTTTATTAGCCCAAGAAAAAGTGGAATTCTTTGGGACAAGGAGCCTTGGGACTTGGATTTTTCCAGGGCACCTGAACCCAGCACCCAGCCATAAGGTAAGAATAACATGATTTAGTTGTCCATTTCTGTAAGATCCGGGAGAGATGCAATTGCACTGATTGTATATACCCAGTTCAGGAAAACTAGTACGTGAGCAATCAGGTTAAATGCAAGTCACCAGGGGTTAGGCTAGGGCACCTCGAGCACCAACCTCCTAAATAAACATCAGAAGTTTATATAAAAGCCACTTAGAAAAGCTGCCTCTACACAATGCATTGAAAGAATGAACATTAGTCACTTGATTGTTGTGGAATAGAGTACTTGTCATTTTGTTGCTTTGTAACCAAGTGTAATTATAATATTCAGCCTTACTCTACAATACTCACCTCTCTAGTATGTGCCCTCCATGCCTGATGGGCAAAATTCGCATGTTTTACTTGAGGGGCAGTGTGGGCTTACGGGTTACCCCATCTTTGTTTCTCACCACTAACTCCTGGGGGCATCCTGTCTCAGGTGTAATTTCACCATCAAACACACTCTGTTAGCTGCAGACTTAATGAGCTTAACTGAAGGTGAATCTTGATTAGATAAATAATCAAATAAAAGCATGATATTTATTAATAAGTCAGCACTGGCACTACAAGAGAAATCTTTTGATGAGAGAGATCCTACAGTAGAATCAGTACATCTGAAGAATGTCAATGAGAAACCTCCCTATCTTTAATTTATATGCTATCAGAAGCTCTGAGCAGGACTTTTCTTTATTCAAAAACAGGCAAATGAATGGAAATTACCTTTGCAAGGCATTCAGAGATGGACCTCAAATGCAAAGTAAAGAGCTGGATTATTTTGGGGATGGAGCAGGTCGAGATAATTATAGAAGAGGATAATGCCTTTCTTCATTTTCATTTCTGCAAAGACGAAGACTCCCTCATGTTGTGTTTGGCCATGATATTCTTTTCTTTCCGAGGGTTATGGGATTGGCCTCCACAGGGAGCTGGTGGAGGGCACCAGGAAGTGGTACTTCCCTGAGCTCCCAAGGACTTGTGTCCAAGTAACCCTGGAATTCAATGGGCCTGGCTCCTGTGCCCTTCGCCCCCAGGGCTGCCTCTAGGTGGCAGGTCTAGTCTGTGCTCCCCTGGCTGGATCCAAAAGAGCAGGGGGCGGGTTGTGACAGTCCTGAAATGCTTGTATTGCTAAACCAGCCTGGGTGTGTGTGTGTGTGTGTGTGTGTGTGTGTGTGTGTGTGTGTGTAAAACCATGTGGGCTTTTGCAGACAGATTCATACCCCTGAATCTCCATTCACTAGCTGGATAAAGTGATCAATCTAACTCTCTTAAGTTGCAGTTTTTCTCATCTGCAAATTCAGGGTAACATCAATTTCATAAATTGTTGCAGGGATGAAACTATTAGACAACTGTGTATAGCAGGAGGGTAAGGAGACACTCATCCTTGTTATCTACCTGCTCACACATATTTCTATAGAAATTTTCTTTTATAGATTTATGCTCATGCACAGACATATAAGGATAGTTTTGCATAAAATGGCCAGCATACAGTCAGTACCTGTGGGGGTTCTTGTTCTCGCCTTCTTCCTCTTCGTTTATAGTACTGGGGACTGAATTAACATTTTTAGTAAGAATCTTGTTAGGTTGCCCAGGCTGGGTTCTAATATTTGATCCTCCTGTTTCAGCCGCCCAGAGTGCTGAAATTACAGGCATGCACTACCATGCCAACTGCTTGTTCTCTCTCCTATTCGAGGGTGTTTACAAGTAAGCTAGTACTTTCTAAAGTTACTGAAATCTTACCTTTGATTCCTCTCAAATTTCATTATTTGGTATGTCTATAATTGATGGTTTTGATAGGCTCAATTGCCCTCAAAGTGGGCAGAGAGACTAGAAAGGTCAAAGGGTTAGCAGAGTCTTCTTTCAGTCCTTGTGTCCTTCACAAGACCTAGAGTCACTTGTTTAGTCACGAACATGTGAGAGACATGGAAGCTGTCATGTGGGCAGGAAAGGGCTCTGCAATCTGGAAGCTCTGGAAGTGAAACTGGCGAGCATCTCTGTGGGGACGAGCTTCCTCGGGATGCAGATGGCAAGTGTGATCTCCCCACTGCTAACCCAATGCTGTGACAAACGGTTTCATTTTCATGAGGTGTCAGCTGACTTCTTTACACCTTCATTTAAATTCCAGATTTAGAACCTAAAACCCTAGAGAACATGAACTGTCACTTTCTACCACTAATGCAGGGAGGCTCTTGGTTATTTTCAAGAAAAGTCCTTACTTGCCTTTTACTGAGGTAAAATACTGGGGTCAGGCAATGCTGACCCACTGTGTGTCTTGGGTTCCCAGACCTTCCACTGACGGCTGCACGTGGACCAGGCCATTTACTAGCAAAGGTTTTTTTCTCACCAAGCTAAGAAAATAGTGATCTGTCTGTGTTTTGTTTTTGACCCCAAACAGATTGCTGTGAAAATCACATAAAACAGCAGGAAGTGAAGACCAAGTTCCATTTGTTAGAGCTTAGAGGGAAAATCAAGTGTTTTGGTTGCCATTCCTTCTAAGTGGAAATGTAGACAGCTGGATGGAAGGCTCTGGAGCTGAGCACTGGCT